TTTTTGGTATTTGTATATAAAATAATATGTCATAATAAATAATTTTAGTTGCTGAGGAAGTCTCAAATAGAGACGAAACGTTCAACGGATAAATATAGTGTTCATCTTAATTAAACCCGTCCAAAAAACAACCTCCCTAAGAGTAAACTTAGTAATAATATTGACACTTATCTTTTCCATACAACCAATTGTATTTTTGTAATAAAAAAATCAGACAAATTATTCGATATATAGATTTATTTTCAATCCAATAATATTTAATCATTAATATAATTTATGTTAAAATTATTTTACGAAAATGATTGAACTTGGTTTTATAGGAAATCTTATTTTTTATTTGTTTTTATATATGTGTGTATATTAAGAAAAATTAATAAAAAATAAATTTAATTGTTAGATAATAACTTATAATTAAATGTATATTATACGCGTGTTATATATGTATAATATATTATTGCTTATATATAAGGAAAGATTAATAGACTAAAAAAAAACTATATTTCTAAAATAACTTTTGAAATTTGTTTATAATCATTGTAATAAGGAAAATGGAATGCGATCGAACAGGTTGAACATCCTTGCAATTTAAGCTTTTAGAGAGGTCAATAACCTTGGCGAACGATCTTCATAAATATAACCTCAATCATATTCAAATTAAAATAAATGTAAACGTAAATTAAACAAAAAACGAATTAAATCAAAGTTGCTTATTAACAATTACGAGTAATCTATTATTTCTATATTCTTTGATTAAAGTTGTACATTTTAAATTAACGTAACAAAATTATAATATTATTTATCTCTGAGAATCAGAGATTTATTTATTATTTCGGAATCATTCTAATGATGCGTGTTCGATCATGCAGGTTCACATTTGCAACGTTTCAATATTTAATCGTACGTGTAAGTATACGTTCAATTTAATTTTAGAATATGTACTAAGAAATCACATCAGAAGTGTCAAACAATGACAAAGAGTGATGAATCGCAAGGATTAAATGCGAACATATAATATTATACAATACCGGTTTCTTTAACGATTATCCCTTTATTTACAATGATTGATTATCTATAAATTCATCAAGGTAATACATGTTATGCATAATACACGTACCGAAAATGTTAAGCTCTGGAAATATCTGAAGTTCGGACTCCACAACGTCATTGTATTGCGGATCTTGAGTTACTAACATTTTCTTCAAATTGTATTCTTACAATGTTGTTTATTTTTCTTTACTACTTTAAAGAGAAAAACTTTTGACTTAATGAATACACCTATAGTAATAATATAGATTTCGCTACCGCATGAACGCTTCCGGTTTACTCCTATCAAACTAACAATATATGCAGTTCAATATCAATACACATACACATGTCAATTTTATTAAACTACATAAACATAAGTTAGAGTTAAAAAGATAGAATACCATCCTTGTTAAATACAATTCGATGTAATCGATATCCGATCTCGAATATGTAATATTATATAATCGAATGTATCGATTAATCGATTATTCTTCGATAATTAAACTTAGTCAAAAAATCGATCATTCAAATATTGATGTTTTAAAGAAACTAATTCTATAGACATATAATATATAGATTGCACGTTTGACTGGAAAATTGTACAAAAACTAGAATGATAACGATGTTTTAATCTTTAATGCTATCTTGTCTTACAGTATTAGGAGTAAGTGTAAAAATTAAACATGGTAAAAATCAAATATAATCCACCTATTAATAAAGCCTAGCTCCCTCTGCCGCATCATTTAATAGAGATATATATTTTATGCTATGATTAATTTATATTTACTTTGATCATTTATTGTTCATATAATGTTTTACAATTTTATTTTATATTTCTTTTTCGTGTATTAACTTATATGATTTAATTTTTATTATTTATTAATAAAATAAAAGAAAGAATAAGAAAAACAAATTTAAAATGTTTCATTTCAGTTTATAATGTTGTACATACTGTATCATTTAGTAAATTTACTAATTATTTGTATGATCAATCTAAGTACAACTACAAGCAATGATTTATAACCGAAAACGCTGAAGGCGCAGGAGGTGTGTTGTAGGTATTGTTAGGTTAAATTTTGAAGTGTCTATAATTGAAATATTGGAAGTGACAATTATAATTTGTCATATTATTTTGTAGACAAAATACCTTACAAAATATTATTGAAAGAAGAATCTTCAAAGACTCAGCTAAAAATGGATTTCTTGGAATATCCTGATGTTATTGCAGAGGTTAAGGGTGCAATGGTAAATTTATTCTTTAAAACACAATTACTTATTATATCGATATTACTTAGGTGTATTGTAATTAAACTTTATATTATAGTATTGCTAATTAAATTCTTTGTATTGCTTTACATTTATTTAATATTCTAAAACTAAAAAATATGATATAATATATGAAATATAAATAGAGTATAATATCTTAAAACAATAATAGTTTGTTTATTCCTTATATTCTTTTCTAGACACCTGGAAGATTGAAATTAACTGACCAACATATTATATTTAAAAACCAAAAAACTGGCAAAGTAGAGCAAATATCTGCTGGCGACATGGAAATGGTGAATTACCAAAAATTCATAGGAACTTGGGGTTTACGCATATTCTTAAAAAATGGAACACTACATAGGTTTAGAGGATTTAAAGATGGGGTATATTTAAAGTTTTTAAATAAAATGTGTCATAATTATGCAAATAATAATAAATTTGTTATTCTTCTTTCTATGTGTATTGTGAAGGACCAAGAAAAAATAGCTAAATTTTTCACACAAAACTATAAAAAGGATATGCTAGAAAAGGAACTTAGTTTAAAAGGTTGGAATTGGGGTACTGCTAAATTCAATGGTTCTGTTTTAAGTTTTGACGTTGGAAATCATACAGCTTTCGAAATTCCATTATATGATGTTTCACAATGTAATACAGGAAAAAATGAAGTAACATTGGAATTTCATCAAGTATGTTTTAGAATTGTTTAAACAACATAGCAATATCTTATGATATTTATATGATATGATCTGTAATATATATTGAGAGCTTTACAAATTTTGAATTAATTTACATTCTTTCAATAGAACGATGATGCTCCAGTTAGTTTAATGGAAATGAGGTTTCATATCCCTATTAGTGACAGTGTAGACCAAGATCCCGTTGAAGCATTTCATCAGCAAGTTATGGAAAAAGCTTCTGTTATTAGCGTTAGTGGTGATGCTATTGCTATCTTTAGAGAAATCCAGTGTCTTACACCACGGTTAGAATTTTATGATTATAAAACATGGGAGCAGTATAGTTATCACATTTGACAGTTTTAATTTATTTTTTATAAATAATTTTTCAGTGGTCGTTATGATATCAAAATATTTCAATCTTTTTTTCAACTTCATGGTAAAACATTTGACTATAAGATTCCGATGTCAACAGTTCTTAGACTATTCTTACTACCTCATAAGGATAACAGACAAATGTATTTTGTGGTAAGTTCTATCTCTCTTAAGATTCTTTTGTGTACATAAAAATAAAAACCTTTTATTTTGTTTTACTCTATTTTTCTTTTTTTATTATATATCTTCATAGGTCAGTTTAGATCCACCTATTAAGCAAGGTCAAACTAGGTATCACTATCTAGTTTTATTATTTAATCAAGAAGAAGAAACTTCTATTGAATTACCATTTTCTGAGTAGGTTTCTCAAAATTATAATATTTGAAATATTTATATCATTTATTTATTATTTATTGTATTTTTAGAAAAGAATTAAAAGATAAATATGAAGAAAAATTAACAAAAGAATTATCTGGACCTACATATGAGGTTCTTGGTAAAGTTATGAAAGTTATTATCAATAGAAAATTAACTGGACCTGGTCATTTTCTTGGGTATGAGATTCGAAATTTAAAAAAAAAATGAAATTTTCTTTAATTATTTAAAAAAATGAACATTGTAATATTTAAACATTGTATTATGTTTTTTTTTAGTCATTCTGGAACCCCAGCAATAGGATGTTCATTTAAAGCAGCTGCAGGGTATTTATATCCTTTGGAAAGAGGTTTTATTTATGTTCATAAACCGCCTATACATATACGATTTGAAGAAATAGCATCAGTCAACTTCGCACGTGGTGGTGGATCCACACGTTCGTTTGACTTTGAAATTGAATTAAATACAGGTGTAGTTCATACATTTAGCAGTATAGAAAAAGAAGAATATGGTAAACTTTTCGATTTTATCACTTCAAAGAAATTGAGAGTAAAGAACAGAGGCAAGAGCGTAAGTAGAAAAATGATGGTGCTTTTCGCATATACTATAAATTTATAATTATATATATATATATATATTTTATGTTATTATTTTTATTAATATATAGGACAAGTTGAATTATGATAATGACTTTGGAGATAGTGATCAAGAAGATGAACCTGATGCATATTTGGCTAGAGTTAAAGCTGAAGCACAAGAGAGAGATGGTGATGAAAATCAAGATTCTGAAGAAGAATCTACAGATGAAGATTTTAATCCTGTTCAGGTTATATTTCAATTATTTTATTTGTTATATTTCTCTTCCTAAGATAGTTATAACATTATATGTATAAATATAGGATGAAAGTGACGTAGCAGAAGAATATGATAGTGATCCTAATAGTTCTGAAAGTGAAGAAGATTCAGATGCATCAAGTGGTAGTCAAAAGAAGGAGAAAAAAGAGAAAAAAGAAAAGAAATCTAAATCAGCCAAAACAGTAGTAAGTATAAAATGATTATTGTTAAAATTTTGTTCTCTTTCACTATGGTTAACTTACAGTCATACTATACGAATAGTTCTGCCAAACTGATTCTTGATCGATAAACATCTAGAAATTTTCTAATTTTCCTAAGATTTCTGCGACTATATATCAAATTTAGTTTCGCACAATTCACACTTTGAAAATCCTTATTCTAAAGTCACTTTCACGCATATGAAAAAATGTTTATTTACATAGTCTGAAAAGCCAAGGAAACCACGGAGATCAAAGAAAGAAAAGGATAGCAACAAACCCAAGCGGCCAGTAACAGCTTTTATGTTATGGTTAAATAGTGCTCGTGATCAAATTAAATCAGAAAATCCTGGTATTGCAGTTACAGAAATAGCTAAGAAGGGTGGCGAAATGTGGAGAGAATTAAAAGATAAATCTGTAAATACAAATTATTCATAATAAATTCGGCAGTTTTCTAATATCACTGTATTAACTTACGTTAATATTGATTTTAAAGGAATGGGAACAAAAAGCAGCCAAAGCTAAAAAAGAATATTCTGCAGCAATGAAGGAATATGAGGCAAATGGTGGAAAAACTAAAGAAAAGAAAGAGAAAGAGAAAGAGAAGAAGAAAAAAGAATCCAAAAGTGAAGTATCACCTAGTAAGCTTATGTCTGGAACTTCTTTCAAGAGTAAGGAGTATATTAGTGAAGATGAATCCAGTAGTGAAGAAAGTTCAACAGAGAAGGTATGTCTAAAATAATATCTATATAGCGTAGAGTAAATATATTACTAATTGATATTATTAATTACAGAAAGCCGTAAAGAGGAAACATTCAGAGAGTGAAAGTGGCAGTGAGAGTGAACAAGAATAAAAGAAAGTTGAGAAGGGATTGATAATAAAAAATTTTAGTAAAAACCAAAACACATAAAAACATTTGAAACATTTAATATAATTTCTTATTAGTCATTCCTATCCATCGAAGTACAAATTCTTCATTTTTCATTACTGTTGCTATTCTTTGCTTCTATACATTCATTTTAAATATTACATTTTATATTTCGTTCTCAACTAGTTTCCCCCTGATAAGTATTCTAATTTCTCATATATAATAAATTATTCATTCCATATTGTAATTATAATATAATATTTTTACAGTCATACAACAACATATTTTGTTCTTCACACGTCTATAAGATCATTATATTATTACTATAATATAATTATTATAACATTTTTATAATTTTTATAATTTGCTGAATTGACATAAAGTGTATTATAAAAATGAGAAATATTGAATGAAGTACTTAACTATTTAACATAAAGATTTATATATATATATAATCTTGTATTTATACATACATTAATATAGAACCGTATAAACTATAGTTTCTCTGCATATATATTTTTGCAAATAAAAGGAATGTTTTATAAAAAGTATGCATAAATAAATCCAGCACACATATAATCTATTAAAACAAAGATATTAGAATTTCACATAAGTACATAAATTATTATATAATAACATTTTGTTCAATGCTGTTATACAAAAAATGTAGAATAAAAATAGAAAACATAAAAATATTAATTATATATTTAATAAAATGTTTCTGTGTAATATTTTTAAACTGGAAAAGATTTAATCTATATTGGTTTGCCTAATTATAAGTTATATAATACATAGAATATATCTGTCATTATCTTATTGTTGTAAGAATTCGTTTATTTGAAAATAAATATATAAATTTACTATAATTCTACTGTCAACCGGGCTGCTTCTTTTCTTTTTCGGTTCCTAAATGATTTTCTTCAATTTCTTTCAATTCAATGTTTTGTTCTTTCATAGCTTCCTGAAACAAATAAAAAATATACTATTATATTAAAGAAACTACATATCATTGAAAATTATTGCAATCTATTTATATCTATTCTATTTATATCGTTTATATCTATTTAGATCTATTTACATTTCATACACAGAATATTATTACGCGTATACACAACATTATATACTATGAAATATATTAAAAGATATATAGAGAAAGTAAAAGTTTTATTATTGATATGGTTCATAATAATCCTGTTTTAAAAGTTATACCTTTTTTTAGTAAACCATTAATCAACAACTTACCATAACGCAAGCTTTATATACTTTAAGAAAAGAAGCACACATTGAATCATCTGTATCTCCTTTTAAAAATTTGTCAGCAAACCATTTATTGAAACAAGCATCGTAATGTTTTTTTAATTCGCTGCACATCTCCATGACGAATACAATAGATCACCACAAGTCGTAGAAAAATCTAACATAAAATATTATAATAAATTTTGATTGCAATTACCTTAAGACATTGCTGATAGACTCCAAGTAATTTAGCGCACGTGGAATCATTTTTGTCACCTTCCAGGAATTTCTCAGAAAACCACACATGAAAGCAGGAATCATATTGCTTCTTAAATTCATTGCATGTTTTGCTTATGCTATTCATGTGAGCTGCCTGGTCCATTTCTGAAAGTGAATACCATGTATTTGAAATGAACTTTATATTATCTAGTTAAGATATTTTTGTAAATGGCAAAATACCAATTAAATAATAGAATTATACTTGAATTGAAAGATAATAGTTTATGATTACTTGATTATTTTAAATCATGACGAAATGACATATAATTCTATATTTATATTTGTAAAATATATTATATATAAATGAATTGCTTGAAGTTATTTACTATAATGTGTATCGCTTGTATTATAATAATTTAAATAGTTAAAATACCATTACTTTATTTTGTTATCGATAAATCTCAAGCTAGAAGATTACGTGATACAAAAATGCTTCAATAATAATACCATTAACTATAATTAGCTGCTATTAAAGAAATAATTTCGATGCAGTTTTCTTTTAATAAATTGCGTCAGAATCAGAATACCACTTATGTTTAAATCAATGTTATGATCAATAACGAACGAACGTACCTATATCAATATATATGTATAATATATACAAATTAACATAGCCTAATGTGAAACTGAAAAATATTTTTTTCTTAGAACTTTGTCATTGAATTATTATGATAAAATCATCAATTATTAATCATTAAATCAAAGTAATACGTTTCTAAAATAGTTTATTAATTATAAGATAAGGTTAAAATTATTGATCCATAGATTACTTGTAATCTGTAGTAAGTATCATAACTGGAAATTAGAAGATTGGTTAATTTATGACCAATAGGACTCCGGATGGAAGAAGAATCTTCTGTGGGTTTTATTGGCTAATTGTAAAACAGAAACAAAATAGGATAGGACGTTAAAGCATTGGTGTAGTCCATTTACCATGGAGACTACACAAGGAACACGAGCTTCTTGTATACAAATGAGATATAAAAATAAGAGTGCGCCCTTGTTCTATTTATTCCAAAATGGAAGGGGAATAAGGCGGCAGTTTAAAATACAAATAATAATACGAAACTATAACGGTAATCATTTAGGTTGTTTAACTATAAATAATGGAATTAAATAAATAATTATTTAATAATCGTAAAAAAATGAGTAAATAGTAATATTAATAGTAAATAGTAATAGTAATAATCGGTAAGTTACTATATTCAGAGCAGTACAAAAGGAATATTAGCAACACTAGTGGTGAAAAAAGAAAACTTAGATATACGATTTGCATGGACAGATTTTGGCAATTTATACGTTTGAGTTCGTGCTCCTTGTGTAGTCTCCATATCATTTATAATGGCTTCACTTCATCTAATCTAGGGAATTTTATTTTTTTTATAAATAATAATGAAAATTACTAATTATTAAAAACATAGTGTTTTATATTAATTGTTTTAATTCTATATAAAATATAGTCCTTCTATTTTCTTTCTTTCTCAGTTTTGCTACCATCATTTTCAAGACGCTATGTGGAGTGCAGGTATCCTATTTCCGTGGTATTGTGTACAACAGGGATTCCTAAAATGCGGTAGAGTAATTTAAATTTACTTAAAATTCGGTACAAGAGAGAGAAAGAAAGAAATTTCTTGATACTTAAATATTATTGCAAAATATTTCTTCAATACTAAAAAATTATTCAAAATACTATACAAGTTCGTGGATCTGCTTACAATATTAAAATTGTAGCTAATACCTCAGCATTATCAAATCACTTAATCAGCATATTACTGTAACGTAACACTATCATATTTTGCATACAAATTTAACTTTACTATAAATTTTTTTTTGTAATAACTACAGTCAATAAGAAAACTCCTATATAGCTTTATGTTAACAATTAATTGTTTTATTAATTATTACTTTAAATTGAAAGTTTAAAAAATACTCTTTAATAATATATACGATTTTACGAATTATTTTTTTTTAAATTTAGTTAGATGAAGTCATCTTGAACATAAATGTGCCTACCGTAAATATAGTAATCTTATGACTTAGTTAGAAAAATTCTATTTTATGAAGAAAGGAACAGCACCTTAAGTAAGAATAGAAGCGAGCGTGCCTATATCCCTTCCAGAGCACTTCCGTTACAAACGAATACAACAGCAGCGTGGCAGAGCATATACATTGGTATTGCTACCGTACAACGAGTAACACGGTATATCAGGTCGACTGGAAGTGATCAATTTTCTTCGATTTCTATTATTTTTTTCTAACTAATAGATATTAAAAATGGAACTTCGTATTGAGAAGAAAAAAGACTACGAATTTTTTATTAAAAGTCTAGTGGCTGGCGGTAAGATATTAAATTAATGAATAATTTTTATATTAAAACATTAGCAGAATGTTTTGAATGTTAGTACTTTGCCCTAGTTATATTTTATCTATCGCAATTTTTATTACATGATATGTATATATTTATTGCTAACACGATAAGAAATGAATTTTTTTCTATTTTTATTTTAATGATGTAATGTGGAAAATTTATTTTTACATAGGTGTAGCGGGTATTTGTTCAAAAACAACAGTTGCACCATTGGATAGAATTAAAATATTATTGCAAGCACACAACAAACATTATAAACATTTAGGTAAAAAATATTTAATTTAACTCATTAATTAATTATTTTGCAAGTTAATATCATTTAATGTGCTATATTATTATAGGTGTTTTCTCTGGTTTAAGAGAAATTGTTAAACGGGAAACAGTTTTTGCTTTATATAAAGGTAACTGGGCTCAAATGATCAGAATTTTTCCATATGCAGCAATTCAATTTACTTCTTTTGAATTCTATTCTAAGGTAATTATATATATACATCTTTAATTAATTTATTTTTTTTTAAGTATAAAAGAAGAAATATATAACTTATATCTTTTTCATTATTTCTTTCAGTATTTAAGATCATTGTTTCAAAAGCGTAGACATATAGAGAAATTTTTTGCTGGATCTGCAGCTGGAGTCACAGCAGCAACGTTAACATATCCGCTTGATACAATTAGAGCACGTCTTGCTTTCCAAGTTACAGGAGAACATGTTTATACTGGCATTATTCATACTGGTGCTTCAATTTTTAAGGATGTAAGTATTATATATCATGTATAAACATAGGTTTTTATATTTGATTTACTAATTACATTTTAGGAAGGCGGTTTTAGAGCTTTATATAGAGGGTTTTTACCAACTATTGTCGGAATGATTCCATACGCAGGTTTTTCATTTTATACATTTGAAAAATTAAAGTATTTATGCATGAAGTATATACCAAATTATACTTGTTCTAAATGTGATAGAAATACTGGTATGTAATTTATCTTAAAATAATTATTTCAGTTATTATCCAGTATTAGCATTCATTCATTAACAATTACATTCATTATGTTTAACATATTCTTATTGCATTTAGGCGGCCTTGTTTTAACATTACCCTCAAAAGTTATTTGTGGAGGACTTGCAGGAGCAGTAGCACAGAGTTTTTCTTATCCTTTAGATGTTACAAGGAGACGTATGCAATTAGCTATGATGAATCCAGCTACGCATAAATACAGGTAAATATTCTTAATGTGCAGAAAAAGTGAATTTTTATTACTGTATGGAATTATATTATATATACTTCTTTTATAAAATTATTATTAAATAATAACTATAGTTAATGTTTTTTTTTCAACAGTTCTAGTATGCTATCAACTATGAAACTCACGTATAGTGAAAGTGGTATTATGAAAGGATTATACCGTGGGATGAGTATAAATTATATTCGTGGTGTACCTATGGTTGCAGTCAGTTTTACTACATATGAAATCATGAAGCAATTGCTTAATTTAGATACAGGAACAAAATTATAATTTTGTTTACTATTGTTATAATGCTATTTTATAATGACAATGATTTCAATCAATGCAATCTATTGAATAGGCTTACTACTGCAGGAGAATATTTTCATAATTATGATTACGCAAAATAGCTACAATGGCAGAAAATTTAATTAATTTTTTAATTTTTGGAAAATTGAGAGAGTGGATAAAATGAAAACCAAGGTAAGTTAAGACTAGCTATAACTGATAAGGATCATATAAATCATACCTTAGTTAAAGTAGTATTAATAATGACAATTATTACATTTATACTGCGAAAACTGTGATACATATTATAAAATTAAAAACACGCATAAGTGATAGATCATTATAATTCAGATATATTGCACAATCTTTGAAGCAATATAATTATAGACACAACAAATTATAATATTTAAAACAAAAATAGTGTACAAAGAATGAAATACAAGTAAGGTATGCTTATGGTCGTTTATAATGTAGTTCTATATGTATTCATTTTAATTTTATTAAATATTTTATATATGAGTTGTGTTCACAATCAAAGCGTTTAACTCCACTTTTAAAATTTAAAAAAATGTAATTATTAAAGCACATTATAAATACTTAATAATTTTTTTTAGATTAAATTTCCTTAATAATAAGCTTTACATCGCTATATGACCGTTTATTGATAAATGATATGACAATCTATATTATTTTATTGATTTTTTGTACCTTTTGTTTCGTGGTGTTAATCAATTTGACATACGAATAGCTCATATGACATCTTTACCATTTTTTTTTTACATTCATCCATAAATTATGTTAAAATTGTATAACATAAAACATTGTACATGTGTAACATGCACAAAGGGATATTTTGTATATAAATATATTTATTTATTTTCTTTATGTATTAATTAATTTATTTACACATTCATTCATTCATTTATTTTTTAATTCATTAAAAAAACAGCAGATTATACCATTATATAGAATATTTACGAATATGATTGTTATTGAAAATGAATAAAAAGTATATAAATATTTTCATAGGATTTAATATCCTTAATAATCGTTATGAAATCATGAATAGATCCTTTATTGTGGCTTTGAATACAACAAAATTAATCATTTTCGTAATTTTGTGTAGTGCTTGCTGTATATTGCAAAAAACTTCTTTTTCGCAGTTGTTATGGAGACAAATTTAGGGCCGTATAATGAACAAGATTCTAACTGGACACCAATCAGATCCATAACAATAAATAAATTAAAAAAAAAATAAAAAAAAAGCTTTGATCAGATAGATTTATTCAATAAAAATTGTTCAAATAAAATAAATTAATATATTAACGAAATATCATCTTAACTTACACTTAATATATTAAAAAACAAATTACATACTTTAAATTCAGCTGACTATTGTCTAGGAACTTTTTTGAATTTAGTGAAGTAGTTCTTTGGATGTTTTTAGGGACAGTTTGAAAAAGCGTTTAAATTCAAATAATTCGAAGTGTCGTTAAAACCGTCGATGAATGTCAGCTGCTCGTCATTATTAATTAAAGAAATAATTTACTTTTAAGTCGAAGAAAATGTTTTTTCAGGTGAGAATACGTTATATTTTATTTATATCTATGTGTGCTTCTTTTTAAATTTATGAGATAAATAACTAACCCTTTATTCGTAAATCAGAAATGTTCATGTCTTAGCAAATTAAAAAAGTATAAAAAGTGTAATTTATATAGTTGCAATAACAATGTATTTAAAAAAGATTATTATTTAAATATTTTATTATATAATCTTAATTTAAAAGGTTTAAATATGCAACTTTTATCTTTTCAAAATGTGTTAGAAATATGATCATCTTTGATTAAGGTTTTTGACAATTGTAAAAGCATTTACGAATTAAGGATTAACGATAAATTTTACGTATGTGTGGAATATAAGTGAATATTTTGATAACAGATTAATGTTACCCCAAAAAATAAAAAGGACATTAAGTCCCTTGACAGCAATACTAATGACTTACATTTTACTCTGGTATTGGGACCATTTCAACCTCAAACGAGGATAACAATGGAAGCATTTATAAACACAACTGTACAGTGTTATTTAACTATTAAAAATACGAGTAACAAGGTTTTAACTGTAAGTAAACAAATATTATATAAATAAGATTTTATATATAATAACTATTCTTTATATCTCAGATAACAGTTACAAAAAAGCCTGATGAAGATCGACACATAGATTTAGATATATCTCACGCTACAATTTTAAGTAATAGTAATACAACAATATCCATTAAATGGTCTCCTAAGAAAGTTGGTTGTTGGCGAGATGTGTTACAATTTATGGATAGTCGACGAAATAAATATGATGTAGCAATTATAACTACTGCTACAAATCCACCAACAAAGTGTAATAAGCCTTTGGTACCTCTAGGTCAACTAACAAATAGAAATAGAAGGCCATGCGAAGACAGAAAAATATTAAAAAATAAAACTACATACCAAGAAAGTTATTCAAGCTTTGATCAGCAAATAAAAAAGGATGTATCAAGATTACAGAGTAATCAAAATGAAGAAAATATTGCAAATATGAATTATAAACATACAACAAAATCTTTTCAAGAAGAATGTGATGTTTTTCCAAAGAAGAGTTCTGATGAGTTTTTAAATTTTATTGATTCTAGTGCTTTTAATTTAACTGTTGTAAATACAGGTAAAAAGCTATCCAATAACAAAAACGATTTCTTAAATAAGATGCAAAGTATTCCTTCTATTATTCTAGAAAATACAGAAATACGTAGAGAAACATATGTGAAGGAAACTGTAAGTCCTAAACATTTTTTTACCATAGACCGAATAAATAAAGAAATATGTGAAGATTCGCTATCTCCTAATGTGGTAGATAATTCGTCAGAATTTTCAATCTTGATAAATAATCTTGCCTTAGAACCTAATAATGTACTAGAAACTTTATCAAATCAACATAGAATTTCAACAAAGGGTACATCCATTCCTGATAATTATAAAGACAATTACGTAGAAACAATGTCTGTACAAACTGATGGAAATGGAACATATAATCTAAGTCCCACACTTTCAATAAGTAGCCATCAAAATTTACATAATATATCTAATAGATCATTAGATTTATCTCTTGATAAAAGAGATAAATTTTTACAAAATCTTGAATTATGTCAATCACAAAAATTATCTGCAAATCTAAATAATTTGTCGCCAATTAAATCTGTGAAAAATGAGTGGGCTAATACCCCTTGTGTCGGAATCCTTCCTTCATCTTCGCCAATTCAAAGTACTTCAAATCCTTATATATTGGAATATTCTACAAAAAATAAAGATCCAGTAACTGCAAAAGATGTTTTAGAAGCAGACTTATGGGTTAAAGCTAATAATGACCATAAAACAAAAATTGATATACGAAGGAATATTGATTTTGGAACAATTATTCAGGAGAATCACGTTAAATTTGAAAATACAACATTAAACAAAACGCAAACTTTTGATACAGAAAAATCATCAGGAATTTGTATAGAAATATCACCTCCTAAACGATATTTTCAAGTTAAGCCGTTATCACGTAAGATGATATCGCCAAAGAAATGTGGACAACTCGGAAAAGACAAATTTATGCAAAAAGGAATTATTAAAAAAAAAGTTCATTCGAACATTCCCGCTAAAAGTAAGTAATTAATAATATAATTTATACATAATTAATATTAATAATATATGATTATTTGAATATTATACGAATATATTTAATTGTTATATTAATTACAGAAAATGTAAACTTATTAATACCAGAAGTTAGAATTTCTAAACTATCATTGGCAAATGTGATTAAAAAAAAAAATCTTAATGTAGTATCAGATCAATCTAAAGAAAATAATTATAAACTTCAAGACACGGATAGTTTATTTACTAAATATTGCAATCCTGATCCATTTGCAGCTTGCGTTACAGAGGATCCATTTATTAGTAGGTAAGATATACAGAATCTGTATTATTTAGAATAATCTTATTCAATATTGATAATTACAACATAATAAAGTAATTATTTGTTAAATTAGTACCATGTATTATGATGAAAAATGGGTGTACAATCAAGAGATGATATTTAAAAAATGGTTAAATGCATTATTATCTCCCCCCGAAGACTTGAATACCGATGTGGAATCAAGTTGTGTTGACATTGGCAAAGTATGGCAATCATGTAAATTAATGGAAAATTCGATTTTAGCTGAAACTAGAGAAGCACTTTCAGCGAGGTAAATTATCTTTATAATGTAATTGTATCATTTTTATTTGAACCAAATGATATGATTATTATAATTATGATGCTCATTAGTATAAATGATTTATCAGATATCATACGGATTTACGTTTGAATGCATTACGAAAAGCTGCAAATGCTATGTACCGTAGACATGAAATAGTTCATGTGCTATCACGTACAACCGTTTGTATAGAAAAAGGAATCTTGACTATTAGATTGGATCGAGATTTGCATAGAGATATTGGTAAGTTATTAAATTGACTAAAAGTTATATGATTATCTTTGTTTAAATTTCTTTATTTTTTATTAACTTTATTAAATAAAATGCATATTCTCTTGCTTTTATTTTTCTAGGATTGCAAAAGGAAATGTTGGAACTGTTTTTAAGTTATAACCCATTATGGTTAAGAATTGGATTAGAAACCATTTATGGTGAAAATATACCATTAAATTCTAACAACGATTTAGTTGGTCTTACAAGATTTATTATTACGAGATTCTTTTCTGATCCTTTTTTGAAAAAGACTTATCCAAATGCTTATCACAGAAAACAACAACATACGACATTCATTACTCTAATGAATAAATTTATGTTAAAGAAATTTCTTTTTCTAGTTTACTTCTTAGATTATTCTAAGATTAATAAACTTATTCGCCACGATCCGTGCTTATTTCATAAAAAAGCAAATATTAAAGATAGTAGAAGCATCCTGTTAACTTTTTCACGAGAAGTCTTAAGCGGTATTGGTGATCTTACCAAGGTTTTGAAATCATATGAATATGTTGTATCATATAAACAAACATATTTAGATGAATTTGATTATGCTGTAACTAATATTAAAACTGATTTACGGGATGGTGTCAGACTTTGTAGAGTTATGGAATTAATCAGTGGACGGTCGGATTTAACACGCCAGTGCAGAGTTCCAACGATTTCACGTTTACAAAAGATACACAATGTCGATATTGCTTTAAAAGCACTTTTACAATGTGGCTGTGCTTTAACTGGTAACATTGATACAAAAAGTATTGCTGATGGGCATAGGGAGAAAACATTGTCACTATTATGGCAAATTATATACAAATATCAAGCACCAAGATTTAATAAAGCTGCAATATGTATACAAACTTGGTGGCGTGCAACCCTATGGTATATTCGTGTAAGAAATTATCTAAAAACATATAAATATAATGCAGCTTGTATTATACAGCGAGCATGGAAAAAAACATTAGCTAAAAGAAAATTGATGATTTTAAAAGAAGAATATTTAAAAGAGTTACAGAGAAAAGAGAAAGCTGTTCGATTTTTACAAGAGAAATGGAGACATTCGAGACGTGGTATTCGCGATCGTAGAAGATTTTTATATATTAGATTTAATACAATAAAATTGCAAAGATGGTGGAAACGAATTCATGATTGTAGATTATATGTTAAAGATTTTCAGAATCAAAGGAAAGCTTCAATTGTTATACAGAGACAATGGCGAGCATTAAAAGAAATGAAAGTACAGAGAATGGTTTATATCAACATGAGAAGTGCATGTATTGTGATTCAAAAACATTGGCGTGCAACGCTTTTAATGAAATTTGATCGTATGAATTATTTAAGATATAAAAATACTATTGTTTTTATTCAAAATAGATGGAGGTTTAAAAAAATGTATGATAGAATAAAGAGAGAACAATGCACAGAATTAAAGGCTGTTCGTAAAATAGAATTATGGTGGAAAAGTATTTTAATTATGAGACACGAAAGAAATAATTTCGTGATTATGAAAGATGCTGCCAATACAATTGAGAATTGGTGGATAGGTATCATGCAACAACAAAAATATCGAACTATGCACAGAGCAGCTATTGTTATTCAAAAGAATTGGAGAAAAACATTAGCGAGAAACGAATATTTAAAAAAAAAAGTAGCAGTTGTAAAAATAGAAACATGGTATAAGTGCATTATAGAACAAAAAATTGTTTATAGAAATATTTTAAGAATGAAGAATGCTGCTATATGTATACAACGTTGGTGGAAAAATGTTAGTATTGCTCGAAAGCAACGGAATAATTATTTAAAACTTTACAAAGCAGCGGTGTCATTACAACAATGGTGGCGTGCAATAATTCTTTTTCGATCAATTAGAGAACAATATCTATTGAAAAAAAGATCTTGTTTGGTAATTCAGACTTGGTGGAGAATGATAAAAACTAAGCAACAATATATGTATTTACTACAAAAACGGAATATGGCAGCAACTATATTGCAAAGGAAATGGCGCTCTACATTAATAATGAGGCAAAAACAAAAAGAATATAAACAATTGAAATTATATACAATAAAAATACAGAAACGTTGGCGAACCTTACAAATTGCTAGAAGAGAATATTATAAATTTCGTGCTCTAAAATCTGCCGCTATTAATATGCAATGTTTGTTTAGAGCTAATAAAATTAGCTGTCATACTAGACAATGGTATATTCGTTTGAAGCAAAGTACGATCATTATACAATCATATTGGAGAATGAAAGTTGCACGTAAAAGATTCATTATTAAGAAACAAGCGGCTTTAACGATACAGGTTTATTGGCGAGCGTATATTAAAGGCAAAAAAATTTGCTCAGAATATAAATTATTGAGATGTGTAACAATTAATATACAGCGTCGCTATAGATCAAATAAAATTAGCAGAAAAGTTACTCAAGAATATGATGCTTTAAAAAAAGCTACAATATGGTTGCAAATTAAGTGGCGGGCTAAATTAGTAGCAAGAGCACAAAAAAAAGAATTAGAAATGTATCACTATGCTGCTAAAACAATTCAAAATTGGTGGTGGCAAATATTATTTGTAAAAAAATGTAAATTTATTGATTTTAAAAATAAGAAAGAAGAACAAGATCTTTCACAATTTACTATTCGACAAATGTATCGCAGTGTAATAATTTCAGTCATAAAAATTCAACGATGGTGGAGGAATATTCGTGAAAAACGCTTGTATCATAAAAAGCAACTTCGTGCAGTTCGTATAATTGAAAAATGGTGGATTATTATTTTAAAAACTAAACAAAAAGCATTAGCAGCTACAATTATACAAGCTGCATGGAAAGGATATCGAATACGGCAAAAAGAATCTAATCATATGTCAAAAGTACGACAAAGATTAAAAACAGCCACAGAAACGGCATCACCGCATGAAACATTAGGGCATCGTTACCAACAATCAATTGTTATACTTAAAAAGTTCAATACAATTGGCGAGCTTTCTATGTGTCTTGCTTCATTAAGTAAGTAATATATAACACATTTATTAAAATATAAGTTTAAATATTACAATAGCTCTAATATAAATTTTTAATACAGGTCTGATAACTAGATTATCACCCAAGGATTGCATTAATTTATGCGAGCATAACTTGGTTGATTACATTTATGAAATATACGTTAAAAGTAACAGATCATTACCTTGGGCAATAGTCTGTTTAAGAGCAACAGATATACTTATTACATTTGCTAAGTTTCCACCAACAAGGAGTTATGTCTGTATGGTAAGAATAAATAATTATTATTTTTAAATATATCTGTGTGAATAATATACAACTAAATACTATTAACTATATAATAAAATTGATATTACCATGTATTAGATTATTCAATTAATTATTATTAATCATTGTATATATATTTTTATTTACTAATCTTATAATAGCCAAAATATGCATTACCAACGGTAAAGCTTTTACATGACAAATTGGATCACGAAGAGTTATCTTTACATGTAGCAACTCTTATATGGTTACTTGTAAGTGAGGACAAATATAAGAAGGTAATTCTTTATTTATATAATTTTAATATTGCTATTATATATCTCATTTCTTTTCTCTTGATTTTTTTTAAAACATTAATTTATAATATTATTTTGTTGTTTTATTCTATTTATTCAATACTTTAATTTATAGGCACTTACAACATGCTCACAATCGATCTGGTTGTTAAATTCTGTATGTAAAAAAATTATTAAAGGAAAAGGCAAACTTGCACACTACTCAGAAATATTAAGAAAGCAAACTAACTTACTTCCAAGTTTTAAACCTGATTGGTCACTTTTCCAAAAACAACATCGTATATTTACGACTATTGAGAATGCTATAACAGCAATACTTGAACAACTGGACATAAAAGAATATTTAACTTGAAATAGAATACATATAGATAAAAATATAAATAAGTGCTAGATTACCAATAAGCGAGATCTTTATCTCTAATTCACAAACACCATTATATTTTCCTGACCATTTTTGATAATTTGTTAATGTAAAAAACCATGACTTCGACGTTTTTAACAAAATATAACATATTAAGAATAAATTAATTATTACAAAAACATTTGAACAAAATTACTTTATCAATTTTATATATTAATTATATCACATAAATGTAGAAATACAATTTCCTTTATCTCATATAAAGAAATGTTTAGTATTAATAGGCAATCAGTTGTTTTTAAATAGATTTTTAGAAACAAAGAACGATTTATAAATTTTATATATGTATATATATATATATGTAAGAGATTATCTGTGGATATTCTTCTACATGTATATATTTATATATATCGAAATTATATTTTGTTGTTACAAAAATGGATGTATAAATATAAATAAATATTGATATAAATACAGTATTGGTATAAGTGCTGTTCATTGAGGAGAAATAAATTGTCAAAATGTTTAAAGTAACTTATTTGCTATATTTGTATTTTCTGCAGTATCAACAAAAAATGTTTAATAAATTTGATTAATCTGTCAAAGGAATGCTAACAAAATTAAAAAATAATTTCTTATAGCTGCCATACCATTTACTTTAATAATCAACTCATTAATGGAAATATAGAGTATTACAACATCGTCTCAACTTTATATGATACAATAATAAGTGATAAATGTAAATTTTATTTACACAACTATTCGAAAATAAAGTTAACTGATTGTGTAATAGCATTACTAACAGTAGTAGTAGCAATAATAGCAGTAGTAGTAGCAGTAATGACATAATGATGACAATGTACTGATCATAAAAGTAATAGTTAATCATTATGATGATGAAAATGTGTATAATAATGGTATTTTTGTAGATTATGATAATGAAGATGAAAATCACATGGTGGAAACGACAATAGTAATAATAATAATATTAATAATAATATAATATAATATAATATATAATAATATAATATAATATAATAATAACAACATTAATGTAATAAAAATAATATTACAATAAGAATGATGATAATGGAAACAATGGTAATTATGATAAGAGTGATAATAATTGCAGTGGTGATGCTAAAAAATAACATTAATGACGATGATACTAATGATGATGATGATGATGATGATGATGATGATAATGATGATGAAGATGATGATGATGCTAATTGAATAATATAGTCTTAGAATAATAAATAGCCACAATAGCGACATTGGTGGTAATAGTAGAATAGCAGTAGTAGCAATAGAGTTGATTGTAGTAATAACAGTAGCTATAGCATTAGTTGTATTTTTGACTTAATTTTCATGTACAGACTTAAGTTCTTTGATCTGTTTTATTAGGTACGCTTTCTCATCATTAAATTGTTCATCTTCCGAGCGATCTGTGTGGAAGCGCGTTAGAAATTCTATCAACTTTTCTTGATTACGAAGAAGTATATCAAGAATCGGTTTTGGTTTATTTGGATTAGCAACAAATACCTGTAGAAATATGAATATTGTTTCATAATTAACATATTGTTATATTAATTAGTATTAAAAAATAGATGATATACCTTAAATACATGAAATGCTTCAAATTGTATGTTTCGTGATTTTTCTTTAAGCATATTCATCATAAGTTTTAAATTATCAGGATTTGAAATATATCTTGTCATAACCTGAAATAATCGTTATGAAAAAATAAATCTTTAATGAGGAATGTATTTATAATATTTCACATAACTATTAAAATATATACATACTGTAAAATTGTGTCTATCGAGCAAAAGCTCTCCCAATAACTTCAAACTTTGTCGTCTTGTTACATAATTTTCAGAATTTAATAACCTTTGATAATGGGAGAAGACTTTATCATAATTAACTTCTAGAAATTCAGCACTTAGAATTTTGTGCCTTGTAAGTAATTCCTATAGCATACATAACATAAACAGAGTATGATTAATATGATATAATAATATGAAAAGAATATGTACATATTTGTTTCAACATGCACATATGTATATACCTTAAATGTAGAAAACGCATCAGATGCTATATCAAATGTAGACACCTCTACATATCTAAAGAAATTATAAAAATCATCAGAATATATCATAATTTTCGCCAATGCTTCATATCTTGCACATTCTCTTAACATAGTGCCACAGTTTAGTGCAATGTCTTGATGCTCATAACTGAAATAATATATAAACATAATATGATATATTTTTTAATGGAATACAACTATTCTTGAATTTAACTTAACAGTATATTTACCCAGACATAAGAGTAAACAAGATTTCTGGTTTGGTACATATATATTCCACTGTTGGAGATCTTGTCCCAATTTGTCTTCTTAAAATATTATTAAAAACTTGGGCAACATCTTTTTTCCCCTAAATAATACAAAAGTTACGTAAACCTTTTTTAAAGTATACAAAACAATTTCTAATAACAATATACAAGATGTGTAGTACGCTAGTGATACAAGCGAGCAGAGGGTAATACTATATGAAAAAATAAAAAAGCCAAAAGTATAAAATAAAATTTATTCATATAAGGCTTCAAGTAGATTTATCTCTTACACGCTTGTACCACCAATTACAGGTCAACCTGTATGCACAAGTTTTTATACTGAAATAAGATATACCTCAAAGTCAATACGACTTAGATTTTGCACAAGCAATAATAATAAATTGCTGTTATATAATTCTTGTGCCAATTGAGCCACAACAATATCTGCCTGTGGTTCAGTTTCAGCTGTTCCATATAACATATTTTTAATGTGTACAAGATTTTTGCTGACATCCTCTTGAGCCTAAAAGTGAATGTATTTCATCATAGAAACCGAAGTGTATATTTGCAACATACCTTTTCTACCTTCTTGTCACCTCGCTCTAATGCATTTACTGCTTCCTTGAGAGCCTTTACCACCTCCGCCGGACTTTTTTGAGACTTTCCGAACAGAGGCATGTTTCTTATAAGATGCACACCTTGTGGGTCATGTGCGAAAAATAAAAGTGACTGTTATGTGGTTTTGGTATTACTAATCATGTATAAAATGTAAGAAGGACTTTGACATAGTAACTGAAACCTTTTTCATGAATGTGGAAGGTAGCAATTAGGATGCAGATTCCAGATTTCAGGTATCCTGTAAAGAAAATAATCCGACTATGTTTTTAATTAATTATACATACTATATGTATATATATATATATATATGCAAAATATAACGAATATCAAACAATAGAGATAATGTTACATTACAAATGCTATAATTAATAAAGTAATTAAAGTATATATATATATAAAATAATACTTAATAAATTATTTTTAAATTATATTTGTATTGTATAAATTGTAGTCAAATATAAAGTTATTACTTACAATACTGTATTATGAAAAAAATGACGAAAAAATTGTAAGAGTTAATGGAAAATAAATTATAAGCGAAAATAAAGTATGAAACATACTAGATTTCTCTCTCTTTATGTGTTATAAATATATATATATATATGTACGCCTAATGGAATTTCCAAAAAAGCTTTAGTTTACAAATTTAAAATATATATATATTTTTAACATTATATATGATATAAATAAATAATTTAGATTTCAATCTCTCCAAATTTCAACAGTTGCAACTGCAAGTAATTAACAGCCCATGTTGCAATGCCTATACTAATTGAATGAATCTAATGTATAAACTCGATAAAAAGATGCATATTCAATAAATAACTATAAGAGAAAAAACACATGAAAATATTATACAGATAAATGTAATGGAAAAGTAACGTTGTCAGAAATATTTTGTAGTATATTTAAAAAAAATAATTAAGAGATCATCTGACAGTTCCTCTTTACCTTTAAAATTTATAGTTTCTAAGTAGACCATTAAATTATCCACACTTTTATGTTACGTACGATATTCAGATGTCATTGCATTTTTTTTATAAATGTAGTTGGTAATATTATCAAAATGATAACGTACAGTTATATTATAGATGATACAAATAATGTTCCATCTGCATAAGCATTAAGCTTTGGTGATCTAACCTAAAAATATTCATTTTTTTAAAACTAAATCTTAAGTTAATCCGAACACTGAAAAATATGTTGCGAAGAATAGAAGAAGGCGCTGTGGATAATTAAAATGATAGGAATTTAACAATTATTCTAATTAATAAACATATACTAAAAATGGTGGGCAGACGTAAGAATGATTTTAAGTATTGACACACAGGTAAGTAAGTAACAGTAAAAATCTGAAATGGAATTAAAAACGTTCGACATAAAATGACTAAAGCATCATGCGAATAATAAAATGAAAAGAATTATTAAATAACATTTAACATCTTACGAGAAACGAATTAAAATGATATTTAAATTGATTGCGAAGTTCTGCTTAGCCGTGTTCCAAAAATTCAAACGAAGTAATATAACCTGTCATACCAGTAAAATATTATGCAATAAATTGTAAACTGATCTTACCATTCAATCTTATTCCAAATTCGATTGCAAACTTGTCTTGACGTGTATAATACTATAACTTTCTAGTTTAGAAGTTCATATATAAGGCAAATAGTTTATGTATATATGTGTGTTGTAAAGACCAATTTGTGTGTCACGTTAAAAATCATATACTGGTTCTGGTCGGTAAGTCTATAGACTTCGTTTGTAAAGGATTTCTCGTTATTTCACTTCTATGATATTTATTACTAAAAAATGTTTTTTATATAGCACACAATTGTGCAAATTCATTTATAATTACAAAGTATCTACTTTTTATAAATAATCTCAAAATAGTAGTGGTAGTGTTATTGGCTTTATTACATTTTATTTGTGTGACCAATCAAAATATACCACACCTGAGATCATTGGAAGATTCATTTTATTTTTTATCATTATAATGTTATTATCAATATTAGTAAGAATATTCGCCTGAAAGTTATTCAAATTTAAATATAAATTTATGTAAATATTGTAAGTAATTGAAAAGAACATTAATTTTCCTTTAGACGCATACGCATTTAGTTAAATATATTTTCATTACGAAGTTATCCAATGAGAATAGAAATTGAACAAAATGCTTGACTTCTAACTCTACGAATATTTCCGTTAGAAATCAGCCTAATATTCTGAGAAATAGCTAGCTGTAATTCTGTCATGCGAAGTCACGTACAGATGAAAAGTGTAGTACGAATCGATAGCAGTGAGTTCAGGGGCGACAGGCAAAGGGAAACGTACGTGTACTGTCAGTAACTGTTACAAAAAATCAACAGACTTGTTTATTAAATACCGGCATGCACTGCGATTTTCTGTAAATAATAAATTAAATAAATATATATTTTCAAAAAAAGTATTATTGGCTGATAAGACATTACACAAATTTGTCTATAATGCAAAGTGTTATCAATTCTGTAAAAGGTACAGCATTGGGAGTTGCAGAATACTTAACCCCTGTGTTAAAGGTATAATTCAAATAGTTTTCATTTGCAACTATTTGTATTTCTCCGCGGTACTATAAATAATTTATTATATATTACGATAAAATTTCAATGATTATATTACATAATTATTCTTAACATAATAAAGCTGAAATTTTGTTATTTTTTAGGAAAGTAAATTTAGAGAAACAGGTGTTTTGACACCAGAAGAATTTGTAGCTGCTGGTGATCATCTTGTACATCATTGTCCTACTTGGCAATGGGCTACAGGTGATGAAGATAGGGCAAAGTCATATTTGCCAAAAGAAAAACAATTCTTGCTTACTCGCAATGTTCCTTGTACACGCAGATGTAAACAGGTATTTTTTATAAATCTACATTGTTATTAATTGATGAATAAATATGAATGTTTTCATTTAAATTTAGATTGAATACAGCAAAGAACAAGAATGTATTATAGAAGCTGATGATCCTGAAGGTGGATGGGTTGACACTCATCACTATGATACGACTCTTGGTGGTATAGATGATAGAATAACAGAAATGACAATAGAAGAAAATCAATTAGTTCAACCATTAGATGAAAATGATTCTCGTGAAGATGATGAAGATGATGATGACGAAGAAGCTGCTGACATGGAAGCATTTGAAATAAGTGGCATGCTTGATGAACAAGACAAGGTGAAAAAAGCATGTTAAATATTTTATTAATATATTATGTAATTATTAACAAATTGATAATATTATTTTCAAAAAATGTTATAGTTCACTGCTGAGACTTCAAAAAAGACTGCAAAAGAAAAAACGGAATTGTTTTCTGAAGGTGAAATTATCCATACACGTACCTATGATTTATACATTACCTATGATAAATATTATCAAACACCTCGATTGTGGCTTTGTGGTTATGATGAGGTTTGTCTAGTAAAAAAATATACAATGTGTCTTACAAAATCAGGCTCAAACTTATACCACGTGTTAATGAAGTCAAGAAAGTCAAGAAAGTTCATATCAAATTATGTCCGAAACTGATTTATTGAAGAGTTAAAAACGTTAGAAGATTTTTATTAATTATCTTGGTAGTTATAATAAATGTTAAAAATTTCTTCCTTCTGCAAGAATGCAGGCTTCTATTCGTCGAAGTAATTATTCTCGAATTTTTCCAAATATTCTAGCTCTTTCAGGAATAATAGTAAATGCATTTTGAATGCATCTCCAAAACCGGTCTTCTGTTTCTATCACATTATCATAAGCAAAATAGTATAATGTAAGAATCTATTAATGTGTAGCTTATGATTCTCCAATTTATTGAAAATGAATACTTTATACGTAAAGTTCGTAGTACATGTTGATTTTCTTCTTTTTTTTAACTTCTCTACAAATTTTTGCGTCTATTCTTACTATATAAAATTTTCTCTAAAATGTTAACTCTTCAGTAAAGTATTTTTGAATATAAATTTATATGAATTTTCTTGACTCCCACTTGACTTTATTAACACGTGCTGTAAGTTTGCTCCTGACTTTTTGAAATATTCTGTATATATGTAGAATAAAATATAGTAATTTATTAAATAAAATTACTACATATAAATCATTTTGTAGAATCGGAAACCACTTACAGTAGAAGAAATGTATGAAGATGTTAGTCAAGACCATGCTAAAAAAACTGTTACGATGGAAATACATCCTCATTTGCCTGGACCACCGATGGCTTCTGTTCATCCATGCAGGTATCAATTACAAATCATTTAATCAATGCTTAACACGCCAACGCGTTGATTTTACATAACAATATTATCTAATAAATTATACCTAAATGAGTTATATTTTTCATTGTAATATTTCTGTAGACATGCTGTCGTAATGAAGAAAATTGTAGAGACAGTAAGTGAAGGTGGCCGGGAGCTTGGTGTCCACATGTATCTTATAATATTTTTGAAATTCGTACAATCTGTTATACCTACGATTGAATATGATTATACCCAAAATTTTATGTTAACAGCATAAGCATACATAACTAGTTAAGTGTATTACAAACATATAAATATTTGCAATATAATAATATAATGCAAACGTATATACGTCAATGTCAATTATGATTATACTCGATTTAATCAATCTACTTGCACATAAGTAATCATAATTGGAATTCTTTATATACGTATCAAACATGTATGTTTATCTTATTCTATGCTATTATTTTTTTAAAAGAAATACTCACAATTGCTTTGTAATATGTAATTATTTTTACGCATTTGAGATATGTTATATCCATTCAATGGATATAATTAATTATGCCAATTTAGGATTTATACTTCATGTTTGTCTTTGTCAGCTGATGAGAAACTATGTAATCTACTTACTATACCATTAGGAAGAAACTTTGGCATTGTAGTTGGATGAGTTAAATAAAATTTGAATAAATTTTTATATGACTTAAAAATTATGCATAATACTATTAAGTAAATATGATTTAGTTTTAACTGTATACATTGTTCTAAAAAAATTACAATTGCAATTAGTGAAAAAAATGTGTTTCAATATTTTATTTTTGTTATACATATCATAGTATAAATTAATAAATTACTGTTTTCTTATAACATTTGAATGTTCAATATTATGATAATATTAGCACCAAAATCTTCATATTTTTATGCAATCTTCAACGCTATGAATACTTAAAATAACTGTTTGACTCCGACGTTGAACTACATTTTTTATATACAAATATAAGAAACTTATGTGTGAGTGAATTATAATTTATCTTATCGTTTTGAATATGCATAAATGAATCTTATATTACCCATAGCAGTAATTTTTATAGTAAATAGTAATATCGTTTCATTTAACTGCATATTAAAATTTTTTTACTTATATTTAAACAATTATGTCACAAATCAATTAAAATTAAATTATACATTCTTGTTGACATTTATTACATATGCTAATCAGAATAAAATGAAAAGTAGATTCAATTTCATTGCTTCTACTTGCATATACATTATTTACTGATTGTATAATAGCTACAGTTTATATATAAGATAAGTAATAAGTTTAAATTATTTATTAAGTATATTTAGTAATTTTTTTATTAAGTAACAGTTAATTCGGTGCTTCAATATTAACTTTATTGCATCGAAATCGTTATCTTTTTTCATTAAGTAATTCGGCAGTTGTCAGAAAGAATAACCAAAGTCGTCAAAAATAAAAGAGATTATTTTGGATAATAACTATTTTCTAAGTAAATATTAAATTTTTTTAAAAGGCACCGAATTAATTGCTACATCTAATATTACATTAACTTCCAATTCATTTATCTACTGATTATAGTTTAGTTAGTATTTTTTTCCAATTTAATTATTTTACTATAAAAATTATTTTTTTTATACAATAGTCAGGTACTCTGAAGCAAGATGTAATGGATCAACATGGTACGAAGTAAGAAGTCGGACTTTTTGTCCATCGTTTGTCATAAATTCGATAGTATGTTGTCCATCTGACATTTCTGCCTGCTCTTCTCCTCCCATTTGATTTATAGTAGCAACAGCTGTTGCATCGGTATCTTCGTCCTAAATAATCAAATTTATATCATAATATTTAAAACAAATAAAATCAGTTTTTGCTTCATGCAATAAGAAAGTAATAGTAAATATAAAAAGTTCAAGTAAACAAACTTACTTCTAATGCTTTGACAATTGCTTCTGCATCCGTTTGTATAGATGATATTGTACTTGGTTTATTTACTTCATGGACTATAGTATTATTCATTGCTGCTATATTACCATTGTGATTAACATGAACACCTAAAGATCCTGGAAATTCTTGAGCCATTACGCCTGAATGAACTCTGATAGTCTGACCATCATTTAATTGACTAACAAATTGTCCTTGCGATAATAATTGTCTTGCATCTTGTATAGAAAGTGGAATTGGATTACCTTCTTCATCTGTAATCTAGAAAAAAACAAATTCAAGTATTATTTTATTGATATTAATATATATTATTTCTTTATACTACTATATTATTTTACTTGTAATTGTAGATCTGGTTCTGATAGTTCCATGGCTACTCGTCCATCTGAAATATTGGCAGTATGATGATTATGTGGATGACCGGTGATTATTTCATTTTCGACACCCAAATGAGGTAAACATTGCCCTTGAGTGCTCACAATTCCTTCTTTTTCACGCATCATGTCAGTATCAACTGTAAATTAAACATCATAATTTGTTACTTTTTCTTTCAAATAATTATATGTATCTTATCTTATATTTATTTTTATCTCGTCCAGTAGTATAAATAATTTATAACGATACCCAAATGTAATGTTCTTGATAGATTAGGATTATTAGGATCTTGATAAGAAACATAAATAACTTGTTGTAGTCCATCTGCAGATGCTTCTTCGGCCGTAATGACTTGAGCCATTTGATCACTTAATGAATTTTCATCTGTTTCTTGGGAATTTGGTAAAATCTGCCATACTTCACCAATTGCGGAACCTTCAGGTATCTCACCTAATGCTAAAACTTTATTTTCTCTATGCACCTATGCAATAAATTGTTTAAAAATATATATCACAGTTTCAAAAATTATATATAATTATTGTTTAAGATTATAAATTACCTTTTTATGTTTCGTTAAATTCGAACAATCAGCGAAACTTTTTCCACAAATATCACAAGAATACGGTTTTTCACCTATAGAATAAATTTAATATAAAGTACAAAAATAGTAGATAGTGTAATCCAAAATATTATGAAGTACCATAAATTAATAATATACATATATTATTTATATAGGTTTGTACCTGTGTGTAGTCGAAGATGTTTTTTTAAAGCCCATTGTTCTGTAAATCCACGATTACAATGCGAACATTGAAAAGGTCTTTCTCCCTTATGCCTACGTACATGACATTTCCATGTGTCTTTATGCAGGAAACATTTGGCACAAAACTCGCACTTCCATGGACGTTCACCAGTATGACGTTTAACGTGTAACTTAAATTGTGATGAAGTTGTAAATTTACGTCCACAATAGTCACAGCAATATGGTTTTTCTCCAGTATGTATGCGCATGTGTTCTTGAAGATTACCATTTTGAGAAAAGCTTTTAAGACAAACTTCACAAGAATATGGTTTATGACCAGTATGCCACCTAAAGAATATTATGTCAAAACAAAACAATAAATAAAATAACGCTACTATGGTAATAAAATAATCATAACAATCAATATAATTACCTGTAATGTAAAGTCAGACTAGTTTTATGAGCAAACTGTTGACTGCATAATTCACAAAAATATTTTTTCTCTCCTGTATGTGTAGATTGATGATTAATTAAATTTGCTTTCGTTTTAAAGCTAGCATTACACGATTTGCATATAAAAGGTCGATCTTCAGAATGTACAAGTTGGTGACGATGTAATAACTGCCTGTGTTTGAAACTCTTCCCACATTTATTACATACAAAACGACGACCATTATTGTGTTCAGCTTCTTTATGATATACAACAGAGCTTGGATGATTTAATACTTTTCCACAAATATCACAAGGATATCCTTTATCTGATTTATTTCCCTTAGGGAAAAAATATTTATATTAATTTTATTTTCTTTAAATATTTCTGGAGATTAACCTATATTTCAATTTACTTTTTTCTAAAATTATATATTTATAAATATATTTTTTTTTTGTATAAAACTTACCTCGTGAGTTAGCAAATGTCCTTTTAAATTAGTTTGATATGCAAAACTTTTATTACAGATGTTACAAAAAAATAGTTTTTCGTTTTCATGAACTATTTTGAGATGTAATTCATATGATTCTTTCGTCTGAAATGATTTTTCGCATTGTCCACATAAAATTTTTATATCTGAATTATTAGCTACATTTTTGTCTAAAATCTCCGTGACTACTTCCACATTTTGATTGTTTGTCAACGTAATTCCTAAATTCTTGATTTCATTTGGCGATGCATTATTTGATATTGTATTTGTATTTTCAATTACTGGTTTTTGATGATTATTATCATGTTCATCGTTAATTTCTGTAATACTGCATCCCGTATGTTGGCTCACTTTTTGATGCAATGAAAAATTATCTTTGTTTGTAAATAACTTCTTACATTCTCTACATTCGTATTTTAAACTTTTATGAAAACTCCTACAATTTGTAAACATTTAATGAGTAAAATAATAAAACTAATCATTTAGTTATAAAAATAAATAACAATACCAACTTGTGTACAATATATCTACTACGTTGCAGAAAACCTCTACCACAAAATTGGCAAGTAAATTTGTTTTTTCGACGTCGCAATTTCGGTCTACCACGACCTCTTCCACGATTTACAATTACTAATTCACCTAAATCCTTTCCTTCTTCAGTTTCTAAATGTCCGATTATCTCTAAAAAAACATTTTCTTAATTAATTATTGTAATTATTATAAGAATTCATAATATTAATAATTTGCGACAATTAACCTTCTTGACCATCTGGAATTGTTACATTTATTCGTTCTTCAGAATCTTCGAAGTGGTCAGCTTCTTCATCCTCTTCTTCATCTATAACACCTTCTTCTTTAAATATTCTTTCTAATTCTTTGCCTTGAACAGCTTCCATAAACCTATTTTTTATTTTTAACTATTGTAATATGTCAAAATTTGGTGCATAATATATGTTAGGTATATATAAATCCTCCTTTACCTTTTAGGAACTTTACGCTTTCTACGACGTCTACCATCACCATCTATTTCATCAAGATCTTCCTCTTGTTTATCTTCCTCTTCTTGACTTACTCCTTCCGCAATGTCCTCTTTTATAATTATCTAGAAAATGAATAGTTTTAACAAAATAGAAATATATCTAAATATATTACTCTTATTACAAACCTTAGAAGATTCCATATCAGTATGAATTTTAGGAGGACGGCCTCTTTTTCGTTTTGGTTTACTTAAACCTTCCATTTGCAAACTCATTTCATGTTCAGTAGTATATAAAGACCCATCGGATAGTACTGAAAGTTTATCATCGTTATTATTTTTATTATAAAAATTTTCAGATTAAAATATATTGTATTACCTTTAATGATTATTTGCTTTTCTAATTGATTATCTTCATTATTTCTTATGTCGTTATCCGAATCTGGTAATCCTGTATTAACTTCCGTGCTTTGTCTTTCAACACGTATACGTTCTCTTTCTGCTTTTCTTTGCAATTCGACTTGATGTTTCCACATTTCTCGTATTTTTCTCTGTCCATCCACCAACAATTCAAAAAATTGCACAGTAGACTCCAGCTGAATATTACAGCCAGGACAAATTGTTCTAGGTAATTTCCCATCATCTTGAATCTAAAAAGATTAAAAGTTATAGAAATGTATATCAAATTATTAAATGTAATCATTTTACTATTTCAAAACACAACATTACACTGTCTATGCATCCATCAATTTAGTAAGTAAGAATCAATGAAATTTTTAATTTGGTTTTATACATTACTAATTTTGATATATTCGTTTCTTCAAAAAACAAAATAATAAAAGAATAAGTTCCAAACAAACAATTTAAGATAACATAATAGAACTGCTTGAGATAACTTACTATGTTTTTCAAATCCTTAATGTTTTCATGGAATATTATGTTATAAATTTATGAGAACGATAATAGCAGTTCATTAAATGAGGAAGAAGTAGATATAATAAAATAAATACGAATTTGTTAAATAGAAGTTTTTTAACCAATAACGAAAAAATACGTGTGAGAGTGTAAATAGTAAAAAAAAAGCAACATGTATTCATTTTTAAGCGTCTCTATTTTTATATCGATAAAGATGAATTTTTTCGGTGGTCACTTAATAATGATAGATTATCAAGGAGGATATTGAATATTTGATCTGTGTAGTAGTCGATAAACTTGTCTAACGAAAACCAGTGGAGCCCCCATATGGATCATTTAGTGAGCAGTAGGAAGTCAAGTTGTAGTCTAATATTCGAGTATATTTAAAAAACCATTCGTACCTTTAATGGTAAATAGCGATTCACCATTGAACTTAAATTGGAATCATCACCCTCGTCCCTATACAACAATTCTCCATTGCCATTATCTTCTGCACATAGCCGACAAATAGTAGAATCATACAGACAGACCCCCGCCATGATAATAGTACAATGAATAATAACAGCATCAGAGAAAATTTAGTGTCCGATTAATAAAAGTGAACAGAAAAGGAGTGATGCAGTGACATTCTCAATGCATACAATCTTTCTTATATAAATATTATTTATTTAACATTAATATATATATCGTTGCTTTAAGATTTATCTTTACTATTTGATCGTGTGTATTAACCATCGATGAGTTATAAAGCGTTTAGTTCACGTTGAGAGGTTAAGTTTAGTTCGATTGGATCAGATTCAGAAGTAGAATCCTGTGCGCAACTTGGATGTGCAGTACGTTCATTTGAAACTTACGAATATTGGCCACGTGATTATATGAATTTATAAACAAAATTATCGATTTCATTAGATTTTTACACATAACACAAAAGATGTAGCAAGATGAAGAGGATTTTATGTTATTACAAAAATATTAATAATACGTAGCTTCTATTAAGTATGTATATAGATAATGAGAGATACGCGTAACAATATTTCTATTAGAATCTTATAACTTCTCTCTACGAGAAAAATAATATTATATTATTTATTTATTTTTCACAATATGATTTCATATATCCTTATATTCTAACATTTATATACCAAAATATATAAGGTACGTATACCTTGTCACTAAGATGCGTTTTCAATAAAATTAAAGACTCTTCGAGGATTGGTCCTTATTTATACCAATCATAATGCTTCATTGATTATTGCTTTTAAAGATCTTAGGATACTTAAAATATTTGAATATTAATTAAAAATTCATAATTTATGCTCGAAATGTTCTTTATGAATAAGTTATTGTCCAAAATTGTTTTGGTTCATATAAAATTATTTTTACAAAAGTTGTGATTAGTATTTACGTTAGGGAATTTCCAAAATAATTTTATTGGGAAACCAATAGAATTAGAGAGATACTAATCTTACAGATTTCCCGCGGCAGTAATAGCACGCTATTGGTTAGGATAATTGCCTTAGTATATAGTCGCATAAATCCGTAAATCACCAACTACTTTTATTAAAAATATGTTCATCGCGCAAGAGCTTTCTGTTATTTCGATCGGAGTGATTCGATTTGTTTCGATTGTTAATCCGAAATATGTGGATAGGAAATTGGAAAGGGTAAACTTAGATGGGGAGGTTTTTCCGACAAATGAAAGGGTAGAATCAGAAGTAAAAATAGGGGAATATTCGGGCAAGTTGTTTTTAGTGATCGTGGGGATTTCCGATGATTGTATTTTAGGGCGGGATTTTCTTTTAAAAACTGGTCGGTTTCGAAGATTAGGGAAGTTGTTTCAAGCCATGTAGGGACAGTGGTGGGGATCACGAAGGGAGCTGCGAGGTGCTGATACCTGATCCTACCGTATTAAAATGGCTATAACTTTGTACAATTTCAAAATGGACTCTTATAAAAGTCTAGTAGAATATATATTTATAGATTATTTAAGTGATAATGGGGGGTACGTTTTATAAGTTGGTAGATTAAATAAATTTCGTATAATTTGTGAAAGTTTAGATTTAATAGCGTTTCCTGTTTTTTATTCGTATACTTTTTTTTTTCAATTGTATGTTGATACATTTGTAGAGAACCTGAGCAATCGAAAATATTCTTATGCGTTCTAGATTGAAGAATAAAGCGATAGTTCTTAGGACTATATCTATTCTTTGCTATGATTCAGATCTATTGAAAATGATGTTCTATTCATATAAGTTTAAAGTTTGAACACGTACTTTGTTCTTTTATTTGCTTTAGTCTATATACACCAAAGTTGTATCTAAAGAATGTATCATTTATGACCTTTTGAATAGGCTCACTTTTTTTAACTGTCCAAAGATTTTTATTACAATTTCAAATAAGATCACCTTCAGAACTCCTTCGAGATGACAAAGCAAAGATAATCTTATTTGCATTATAATGTGTTATATTAATCTGTCTTATTTAAAAACTGTTTACATTAAGATAATGTTCAAGGTGCGATTTTAAGATTGTCTTAAGTCACGATTATGAATCTAGAAGACATTCTATAACTGTGCTTAAACAGTCTTATGATAATCTTATTTAACTACTAATTGAACTATTAACAAATATAAACTTTATAAGAATATAATGAGGAATGAATATATATACGATTTTTAAAAGATTTATGTTGAAATATAATGTTTACATTAAAATAGTAAATATAATTCCTATTGTAATGTCGCTTTGGTAACTATTTAATTAGAATGTTATAGATATATAGATTTTTACTCTCTATCTTACATAGCGTACTAGTAGTAGGAGACATTTATAACGAAATATTAATACATACAAATAAATTCAAATCATTCAAGTGTACCATATATTCTGCCAAAGGCAAATTCCCAATAATGTAAATAATTAAAAGAATGCAGTATAAACTTATAGTAGTACAATGTTACTTATTAAAACCAATCTTTCCAACATCAATATCTGGAAATTGCATATGCAGATGAGTTTCAATTATCTGGAATAATTCTGGTGGTTGTGGTATTCTACCTGTTTCAAGTTTTGACCACACAGGAACATCTGTAATATTTTATTTATTACATATATATATAAATGTATTAATATTATTAATGTAGTATTTTATATGTAATATATACATATGTATACATGTTTTTATAATTTATAATGCATATAAATAATGTATAATGATCGAAAAACAAATTATACATGCACACATACCATTAAAATGTATTTCAAATGCACCTGATGAAATGAGCTGACCTTCTATTGCATTGCAAATAAAAAATATCATTACACAGGCATAAAAGCGATTATCAATGCACCATCGCCATAATGATGGTTCTGGCTGACCCAGTCGTTGAAATATATTAATTCCACTAATGATTAAAAGTATAATCAAAATTTTTGCTGTTCCCTAGATAAAATGACAAATTACAATATGTGTATATATGAAATATATACAATAAAAGATCAAGAAAATAATATATTTACCAAAATTTTGGCTATCAACATATTATATCCAGGAGGATTAAAGTTTTCTCCATCAATTTGTAGGTCTGGATACTTTTGTCGTAGAATACCAACATATTCTTCATAAACTTTTCTGTATCCACACGAATAACTAAAATTATTAAGTAATTTATAATAACTAACTTGTCTCTCAAATGTAGATCTAAATGCATAATATTAAAATAATTTAGGTAATGTTTTCATATGTTTATTACGTTGTTATATTTCGTGTAGTGCATCTTAAATCAATAAACAATGACATGCAGATTATTTTGATATAGAAGTAGATAATCTAATGAAAATAAATATTATATATATTACTCTGATGATAAATTTGATTCAAATGTATGTCCATTGAGGTCATCATTATAAATATAATAATATCAGTCAGACTATTTCTATTAATTATTCAATTTGTCCTGCACTCACCAATAAAAGAATTTTAATGTTGGTCCTGTTTTTGCACCAAGTTTGGTTAATTGGTGATCATTGTTCGCATTAACTTGTATAATTACAGCACATAGAATAACAAACAACAACGAACTTAGCTTTGTTTTACGCATTGTTATTTAGTCCATTTAATATGAGAAAATAATACAAATGTAATAAAAAAAGTCACATGAAAATATCACCACACGCTTCAGATGAACCTTAATCTGCTTATAGCAGTTTATCAGGGGAGCCAAACTCTTATACGAACCTAAAGTTTTTCATTTAAATAACAACGTTTTCAACACTAGATAGCGCTTTTAGATGCGATACCAGCGCACCTACAGCATGTAGATTATTTTAGAAATTCTTCCTTATTTATCATATATATATAAATGTAATCCTCCTATGGTAATAATAGTATCTATGGTTATAATTTAAAAATAAAACATTAAGAATAGAATAATTATTTCAAGCTATTATAGAATTTTATGTTTAATATCTTACGATTATTGAATATTGAAAATCAAACTTTTAATTAAATTCTTGTTTATTTAAGCTTCTCCTTCTTAAAGTTTTTTTACTCTTTTTCTTTATTGAATACAAACTTATAATTATTTGTTTTATGATTAGAAATTCACGCAAGTCGTATACACGTTTATCTTAAGTTAGGTTTAATTAATATGTGGAAAGTAATATATTAAATATCACATAAAAGCATACAAATAAAAAGAAGATTTGTAATTCATTATAAAAATGAGTTCCTTTAAATATTGTCAATTTACTGGAGCCTTTATGATAATCAGAAATATGGGTAAGAGTGAAAAGATTTTAATGTAATAATTTTCTATACTTATTTTTTTACAAGTAATCTTATGTATTTAATATAAATATCATTATTATTACAGCAACTGTAAAAAGGTTTTATCGAAGGACAAACATCTTGTCGAGTGATGGAAAATTTGAAATAACTTTGGATCAAAGGAAACTTAAAACACCTAAAGGGAAAATATTTGAAGTAAATAGTAAAGCTTTAGCTTTAGCAGTGGCTTCAGAATGGGATGCTCAAAAAGATATCATTGAAAAAGAAAATATGCACTTGGTGAGTTTATACCATAGTTATAATATTTAATTAACGTTAATAAAAAAAATTAAAAACGTTTCATATGTTGATTATATTGTTTCTTACTTTTCAGACAGCTTTGTGCAATACCGTATTGGATAATCCAAATAACCAAACAAAATTAGATATAGTAAATTATATTACTAATTGTTTAGAAATAGATACAATTCTATTTCATTCTAGTGTAAGCAATCAGTATCTAAATTAATTATTTTCTATAATATTATCTGAGAGTTGATTAAAAATTTATTATTGTAGGAAATAGATGATCTATATAAATTGCAAGTAGAAAAATGGGATCCTTTAGTGCAATGGTTTTGTGATCATTATAAAGTAAATATTGTTAAAACCCAAAGTATAGATATACCTACAATGCCAATAGAAACCAAAACCGTATTATCAAGACATTTATCGTCATATGAATTTGATGCTATTCATGGTAAAGTATCACATTTATTTTTTAACACGTTGACAGCGTAATTCGAATTACGCTGGAAAGATAAATAGATTAATTATAAGTGCATTTATCACTAATGTAATCTGCTCTACAATCTGAATTTTGACTCAGGTATATAAATGATAAGCTAATGCAAATTTGTGAAATATGTTATAGGTTTTTTATATGCAGTTAATGCATTGAAATCAGTAATTCTTACCTTAGCTGCTATTGAAAGAGTAATTAATGTTGAAGAAGCTGTGGAATTATCTCGTTTAGAAGAGAAATATCAGGTATTATATAAATAATTTTTGAAAATGTAAAATATAATAAGTGCAGTTTAACATTTCTATTATTGCATGTAATTTGTAGATTTCACACTGGGGAAACGTTGAATGGTCTCATGATCTCGGTAAATACGATTTACAATCTCGCGTAGCAGCGGCAGTCCTATTTGTACATTTAAATTCATACTTTGTTACTTCACTACCCAAAGGAAACAAACATCTCAATAGTTAACTATTTCAGTAGAATATTAAATTATTAATTATTTAATTAAAAATATATCAACACACAAGGTTCGTGTAATAATTTAATACAAATATAAAGAATGTAGTAATATGTTAAGCTTTTTATGACATTTTGAAATTATTTATTAATTTGATATATGACAGGCTGATAGATTACTAGAAAAACGTTTTTCCACTGGTAAAGAACAATCCGGGCCTGTCCAATCCTTCGTACATATACAACTAAAAAACAGATCATGTAATTCATGGTAAATGAAAGAAATTATTTTTACTGAAGGTAATAGATACCTATATGTAGAACCATGGTTCAAGCAAACTGCACCATTTTTGCAGGAATGACGAATACATTCGTTACGATGACATTCTCCTACGCCACGTCCAGTAGCTGGACTAGAACTGGTTATTGGGAAGATTGTATCTTTCGTACGTAATTCGATATCAAATATGCATCCAGAAAAACCAGTATGTAAAGGTAAATCGTGTGGTAGCATTTCAAAATTTTTAGATTTGTGACCACCTACAAAACACTTGAGAAATGTCAAACAATATGATCTAGAAAACAAGTAAAATATAAATAAAATACATATTAGACTTTATAAAGAATAAGATGCAAACCAATGTATAGTATAGGAGACACATCAAGCTGAGACATAATACCAGCTGCCTGACCAGTAACATTATATGTATCATCAATAGCAAGCCACGCATCTCTACCTGTTCTTCCAATATGTAATGTATGTGGATTATGACTTTTCATTCCTGGTGCAGTTACAGCTGATATAGAAGTTAACGGTGTTTTTGTGAAGATCCTGCGTACGCCTAGATAAATATCACTACACAAATGAATGATAATTGCACTAATAGGAGCATATGCTCCGAAACTGTTATTAAATGTAAATACTAATTTACCTGAACCAAGATCCCACGTTAACATTATATAACCACGTACATAAGTTATAGAAAGATGATCTGATATTTCCTGGCGTGAGCCACTCTGTCCTAAATAAGCTATAAGAGATATTTGATCTAAAGTATGTGGAATGAGTTTCATTTTAAGTTCCATAGTGTCTTTAATTGAATTTGAAACGCCATAAGCAATATACGATGAGAAGCCTGGTATCAAACTTGAAAAGGACGGACGAATTACAATAGTATCTGAAAAATATATATTTAATAAGAAATAGAATTATAAATTAAAACTAAATTATAATTTTGAGGTATATTTCATATCACCTTCTTCACAAAAAAGTCCATGAGTTCCAAGAGGACAAATGCAAATAAAACCAGTTCCCGGTGAACTTATACAGGTTGCCCCTAGTGAGCAAGGATTCTCGTCGCATATTGAACGTTCGCATAATGTCCCTGTATAACTATTGGATTATATATGTGAATTTAGTATAAAATATGAACAAATTTCATTTGATGTTTAGACATAAAAATTATGAAAACTTACAAACTTAAACTATGCTTACCCTGCAACGCAATGACAACGAATAGCACCATTATTTTCTTCACATGCTCCGAAGTTTTGACATGGATTTGATAAGCAGAAAAATGATGTACATTCTTCAATTTGAAATGTCTCTGTAGAATCATGAATAAAATTTCTTTGGAGGCCATTTACCTTTAATTATAATAAAATCTTTAATTTATTAATATATATATATATATATATAGAGAGAGAGAGAGAGAGAACACACACAAATATTTAGCAATGAAAGTGTTTAAAAAAAGTGCATTTGTCGTTTTATATGAATAATAAATATAATTGTATATTTATTTGTAGTACCATCAATGAGTTCATGCAACCAATAAATCCCATAGCTACACGAGGAAAGTAATGGGAAAAGGCCAACGGTATGCCACCTAAATTCAAAGTAGCACGATGTGGAAAATGTTCTCGGAATGATAACATTTGTTCACCACTTACGGCTGTAGTACCATTTACTAATAACTTAGCAGAACATTTATCACTTTTATTCATAATATAGTATTCAAATCTGAAAGAAAATACCGACATTTAACGTTTACGTTTTTATTTGTCTATATAAGTGTAAAAATTCTACCTCATATCGATTTCCGCTTCAAATCCATTATTAATGGCGGAATCAATCTCGCCAAGTAACATTGTTTCCAAACCACACGAGAATTGAAATTTCAATATACTACTTTCTAAATATATTAAAGCATAACGTTCATCGTCAAAATATACATGAAGTATTATACCATTCTTGAATCGTGTTCTAAGTTTAACATAAATTCGAAGACTCATAGTATCATTATTAACGTTAATATTAATACTCTGCCTTGCATAAGACTTTCCATTAAACGCTGCGCTTTTAATACGTTTGCATTCTTCCTCCCGTTCTGTACAATTGCACTATAAGTGCATACAATTTTTAAGTATGAAATGAACCAATTCGTCTTATAACATTCAATACTTACTTCTGATACGTTGCGCGCAGATGGTATAGTAGTTCCAGTTGTACAGGAATTTTCATTGCATTCACTACTAGTTGACGATTGTTCTGTCGCAATGGGAACTTGATCGTATTTTGTATGTAATGTACTATTTTCAAGATCAAGAGTAACTGTAGTTTCAGTTGCATTTACAATGGTACTTATAGTAGTGCTGTGTTGCAGAAATTGAGTTGTTGAACTTCTAGGAGTATTAACGGACGTTGACGTTGACGTTAACGTGGATGATAATTCTCCTCCTGCAATCGAGGAAGTAATCGGCGGTTCTATGGATTCCGTTGTAAAAATATTTTGTATTAAAGTTGTATTTTCCGAAAAATAATCACTATCTAAAACAGATGCAGTTGTAGCATCAGTAAACACGCGACTAGATCTGGTTGTTGTATCGTTTGTAATATTCTTAGAATCAGTCACTTCTACCGTTGGATGATATCTGCAGAAAATAATTGTATTTACACAAATACGTATTAGCGTTAATAATTCGAGATATATCGAAAATATTTCCTTAGCCTTACCCAATAGTACTTGCTGTATATGGTAGCGTACTACTTATTTCTTTACTTGTTTGTTGATGAGCCGATGCTGACACCGATAAAAATGATTCCGTAATATTATCTTCATTAACGTCTGATGTTCTTGTACTATCCGTAACGTTATGATAATTAATCGGTTCTGTTCTCGCTAGAGAAATCTCCGATGTAGAAGAAACTGTTTCTTCTTCGGTAATCCTTGTTTCTGATACAATATGAGTTTCTGAAGTATCTTTTCTAGTTGACGTATGTAAAAAAATTAATGATGTCTCCGTAAAAAACGACGCATTTTCTGTACTGGTCGTAATTACGTTTCGATCTGTTTGGGTAGGCAAGGTCGTTTCTATCGAGGGATACCATTTTGTATAATGATCGATAGTTTTTGAAACTGTCGTTGATAACGTGATCGGATGAGGATGTAGACTTGAGCTGGTAGGAGTGAATACAATGGACGTAGATGTAGGTTCCGATGAAGATACATCAGTTGACTTAATACTACTAACATTTACTTCTATCGAGTCTTTTGTTATAAACGACGTTGATGTTGATGTAGATGAGATAATGTACTCTTCGCAAATAATTCCGCTGTAATCGGGAGGACAAGCACAGGTATAACTATTGATTCCATCGATACAAGTACCACCATTTTCGCAATTAGCTGATTTTGATTCACAATCATCATATCTAAGTTCGCACAGTGCTCCATGATAATCAGGTACACAGTAACAAACTGATTTATTGTCTTCGAGTAAACACACTGCGCCATTTTGACAAAGATTTTGATCACACGGTAAAATAACTTTGTCGCAATCTTTGCCGGTAAAACCTACGTAAAATATATAATACTTTAACGTATAAATCTTTGGAAAAGAAATTTATTATAATTTCTAAAAAAGAATTACCGAACAAACAAGCACACGTATAAGTAGCCGGAACATTTATACAAAGTCCACCATTTTTGCACGGTGAAGTAACACATTCATCGATATCTTCGTCGCATAATTGACCAGTCCATCCTATAGAAAAAAATAAAGTAAAGAAAACATTGTTAATATACGCATACGTTGTATATACCGTGAACACTCACCTGCAGGGCATCGGCAAAAGAAAGAAAATCCTGGTCCTTCGACACACTCCCCGAAATTTTTACAAATCGTATCGTTACAAACCGAAGCATCAATTTCACAATAATCACCTAATAATAAAGAATTTTAATTTGCCGTTTCATTGGTTTTAATAAAAATTAGTTTGTTTGTGTCAAATCTTTTACCTGAATATCCATCAGGACATTGACATATAAATCCATCATAATCGAGACAGGTACCATTGTTAAGACAAGGTTGATTCGCGCATTCACTATACTTTTGCTCGCAATTTATTCCTATAAATATTGTATATGAATATTTTGTAATAAATATATCTAATTAAATGAAGAGTATTCGTGTTAAAATATATACCTATAAAACCTTCGGAACAAGTACAATTGTAAGCTGCTACGGCATCTGTACATATTCCACCATTGAGACAAGGATTTGACCAACAATCATCCCAATTAATTTCACAATTAATTCCGGTATATCCATCGATACAATAACACGAATAAGAGCTACTGATTACAAAATAAAAACAAAGATAATTGATATAATAAAAGGTGAGATGATGTGTTATCTTAATTAAAAATTCTTGTAATTTCTTATTCCCTTCTTATTAGATTTGTTTGATATTATAATATATGCGATTTTTAATAGATGATTTCATTCAAACATTTATAAAAATGTTGTAATTTATTAAAACAGAAAGTACCTATTGTCGTTATCCAAACAAATTCCGTACATACAAGGATCAATGCTGCAATTTGACTGTATCAACGACTCGCCGATTACCGATGCTGTCATACAAGTTGTTAGAATAAATACGATCCCATAAAAATAATTAGATACTTTCGTAACATATATCCACCTGTAAAACAATGTAAAATTAATTCGATCGATGACCTTTATTTATATGCATACTTATTCTTTTGTTTTTTTTTTTCCAATTACCTTCCCATATCTATCAAGTGAATTGATGAAAGGAAGAATTCTTCAATAATGAGTTGTTTATGATGCTCTTGGCACAAATGTAAATTCTATACTAAATGTATATTTAGACATTGATACATCCGATTCACTTGGTGCCGTTGACCGGCTACCTACGGTAGTCTTAGCAACAGTGAAACTACACAAGGTGTTCGACTTATCGCTTACGCCTGCGTAAGGATTGTCATGTCAATATATAATCATTTTTTATCGGGCAATTACCAATTTATAATTAATTATAATTAACGAACTATGAAATTTTATCATTGTCTTCTTTCTTCCTTTCATTCATACAAAGAATCAATTTATTTAATCCAGGACTATCGTTCATTTGTATATTTCTTCTCATTTTTATCAAAATTGAACAATTATGTGCGTATTCTAAGTATTATATATATATATATATATACTTTATAGATTTTTAATATAATTAAACGACTAAAATAAAACGAAACTGGATCTAATATTTTAATTAAAATTGCTTTAATTGTTCTCGTATTAATATGTATTTAGATTTTTTTAATAAACTTTCTCGCGTGTGACTTTATAATGAGAACCATTATATCGCACTAATTTTTAATATTATTTTTTAACATAAATTTTTATTCTTATTGCATCCTTTAAAAGAGATGAAGTAGTCAAGTATAAATACGATATATGCGAGATATACAAATAGATATATTATATAAGTACGCAATGTTGTTGAATGTATAGTGCACAAGTATATGCACAGATAAGAGACACTTATACCTTTAAGTAGGAATTGCAACTCGAACTGTTGTTCTATTTCCTTCACAATCTCTTTCTCTCTAAAGTTAGTATCATGAGTGTAATGGAACCGAAGAAAACAGAGCTAGTTTTGAAAAATCATTTAAAAAGACATGAATTATTGTCCGATGGATCACAGGCCTGGACTGTTGGTTATTCATCTTTCGGTGGCCGTGGATTGTTCGCAAATCGTGATATCGAAGCAGGAGAATTAATATTTGTAGACTATGCTCTTTTAATATCACCACGAAATAGCGAAAAATATTTACCATTATGCGTATCTTGTTACAAAGACAAATGTCCTCTTTTTTCATGCGATCGTGGATGCGGTCTTCCTATATGCTCTCAAATATGCGAAGATTCAAAGAAACACGTGGACTACGAATGTAAATATTTGAGAAAATTAGAACCAACTTGTGGTTCAAATTGGTCTATAGATTTACTGCGTGGACTTTTGGCAGTAAGAGCAATTACGCTTGATGATGAAAAACGCGATGTCTTGGCTGTATTCCAATGTCATCAAAACTTGAAGGGTGATTGTGAGGTATGCGCATAAATATATTATATGTATCCGGAAAGACAATTCTTCAATCATTTAATTTACAATCGAATTAAAATTATTCTCACTCTATAATTTTCATTTATTTTTATAATTTAGTAAATGCAAAATAAAAAAAAATAAAGTAGTGAAATTTACTGTAGAAAGAAATATCTTCTTTTCTAGTATACGTTCGGTAATTGTTGAAATTCCCGTTTTCTAAAAAAAATGTAAAAAGAAATTATTTTTCAAAGGTCACATTACTTCGGAGCAACGTTAAAAATGCTCCAGAAGCCAAAGAAATTGATTTCATGATGATGGTCAGTGGAATTTTTAATACAAATTCATTCGAAACTTTTGTTGTGCAAGATAAAGATCATTATACGAGTTTGCGTGGGCTTTATCCTTTGGGGGCATTACTAAATCATGCTTGTGTACCTAACACAAGGCACCATTACGATTCGCAGCAACGGCTTTATGTCATAGCTGTCCGCCCCATTTCCGCAGGGGAAGAAATTACAATGACTTATATTGATCTTTTTTGGGATACCATTTTAAGAAGACAAGTTCTAAGCGTTACTAAGAATTTTTGTTGCAGATGTAAAAGATGCAGCGATCCTACGGTAAATATATTATTGTGTGGATTATCGTTCGTAAAATAAATATAAATATATTAAAAATATTTAAATATTATCTTTATATACCTTCAGGAATGTGGATCATTATTTGGTGCATTATATTGTGCAGCTGACTATTGTTCTGGTATTTTATTACCTCGTGATCCTCTAAATAATGAATCTCTTTGGACGTGTAATAAATGCCAAATTAGTATCAAATTAAGACAAGTTAGTTTATTTTTTTAATTAATGTAACAGACAAATTTAAATTATATAATAATTACTTTTTTATGATTTAGAAATAGTACGTGATCGTCCTTATTTACTTACGTTATTTCAACCGTTTCTTTTATATCTATTTTAGATTAATTCGATACGTTCTGGTTTATCATCGATATTACATGAAAATATATCTAAACCTCCCCGAAAATTATTAAAATTCTTACAGAGAGAACTTTCGATCTTAGTTCCACCATCTAATTATCTGATAGCAGAAATAAAGTATACTATTATTTCTTATTTTGGTAAAATTGAAGATCTTTTATGGGCAGGTATAGTGGTACCTTAAGTATAATATTATATATATATATATATATATATGTTTTTTGAATAATCAAGCTATATAATTTAATATAACTTAGATATTTTTTTTCTTCAATATGAAAAATTTTTAAATATTTGTATTCATTTAGATTTATCGGATGATGAATTAGCAATTAAAGCTTCCTTCTGTACAGACTTGTTATCAATTTTAAATATCTTAGGCTCTGGACAATGTAGAAGAAGAGGTAATAAAAAAAAGCATAACATTAAATAATATTTTTCAAAATTAAACAAAAGAGACAAATTTACATAATTTTTTCAAAAATTTGAGGCTTACTTCTCTATGAATTGTACTGTACCATCAAAGAACAACTGCGGCGGCTTCAAGGAAAAAGCAATTTTAAAGAAGAAAGCTTGATACTTTTTAAAAAGGTATGACAATTCAGCATATTAAAATTTGTTCGTTTTATTTGCATTTGCATAAAGTTCGCTAATTAAAATTCTTTTTATTAGATGAACATCAAAGATAATGACTCACTGTTAAATGAAATAATTGATATTTTTCAAAATGACGCTGTAGCATCAACTTTTTTAAATGGCAATTTGTGATATTGGTATATTGAAATATGCATTGCTTCAAACAATTAGAAACTTGAAACGATTCACAATTCTTTTAGTAGGACAATTCTAGCAGATTATGCTCTGACTGAAACATAGAAAAGACATTATTTGTTATCTTATTATATATATTGTTAAATTAAATAAGAAAATATATTACTTCAATATTGTTTAATATGCGATACATGAATAATCTTATTATTTTATGGAATTAAACAAATAGTAAAAGTATTTTCCATATTCATGGAACGATATATACATATGTGATATTAATATTTTCCTTTGTGCTACCAATCCAATTTTTTACATATAACTATATGTTACAGCAGGCTATGGAGCAAATAGTGATTTTCGAAATTATAATTCTAGTAATAGTTAGACGATTTTTCTTTCTATTAATATGCTTTTATCAGCCTATTTGAAAGAAGTACATTGCCATTTTTTTGTTTCATAAAACTCATTTTCTGTCTAGTTTTCTATATTATCTATTTGTTTAATGAATTCGTTCATTTCAAGCTTATTGCTTAAGGCTTATTGTACAATGCTTAGTAATACTTAGCCAACCGAGCGTGCCACGCTTGATCGTACGCTGTAATCCGTGTATTTTTCGCAAATAATGCAAACTAGTATCCGTTACTTGAAAGCTAAAGAACATATAAAAATGATTTTAATGGATAGTAACAATATTGTCTTGCATGTAGTTTATACAAAAAATGCAATTTAAAGTATATAATAATTATTTGTTATAAATAACAATTATATTATTATTATTTATTTTGATATTTATATACCATTAAATGTAATGGAAAATGCTGATAAGGAAAAAATGAAAGATCTCTCAGGTCGACCGGTCAGTGACTTGCTTTAAAACGAGAAGATTTCCCCGTTCATTTGACTAAGTATTAATATTAAGTCCAAGTAATAAACAACAGTCGTACATTTATATATTTGCACGTTTCACATGAAAAATATAAGTAGTACAATTTTACAATAAAAATTATGCACAGCAAACAGTAGAATGTTTTAAATTGCTTGCTGCAACAAACACTTTGCTGTTTCGTACAATGTTGTACATGGTTTTAGAGCATCTATATCATATTCTAAATCATCATTATTGGCATTTTTTAATCTGCAAAAGAAACCATATTAACATCATAAAAAAATACCATAGTAAAGTATTTTATAATTCATAAATATTCTTACCTATATACTAGATCATCCATAGACGCTAGTAAATTGTTACGCAAGAATTCGTTTCTTGTTAATGCTGTATGAACTAATGCAACCTTATCCAAGAATAAATCAGTATGATCTATTTACACAATACGAAAATAGTATAAGTAATCAATGTACAAGAATACATTATTCATATCGGTTTAAAGTTCTTTATATAACTTACCTTCCTTCCCATATTTTTGCGATAGTGTATTAATAGTATCTTCGCCTGCATATTTAAAAGATATACCAATTCTGTGAAAAATTGCTTTACATTGCCAACGATTTTTGGCATTTTGTTGCCCAGAAGACAGAGGTCGACGTGGTTGCATTTCTTTTACAAAGCTTTCCCAATCAACGCCTAAAGCATCGCCTAAACCTTTACCACTTGTTTTAATATCCTCTTCCAATTCACCATCAGATATTTCTTCAAAGACCATAGATTCCATATTTTCATCAACCATATTTCTATATAATTAATTTGTAAAATTAATAATAATTCATTAAATTATAAGCTCAAATAAGATTTTCGGGAACTTGTTTTATTACCGAAATGTCATAGTAACAGAACTATCTTTTCCTTTCACATTGAACACGGTATCTTCTATAGATTCTTTAGGTGAAGGTTGAGCTGTTTCTTGAATGACAGGTTGTTGTTCTTTCTGTGTAATTTCAGGTGTTTTCTTAAGTAATCGTAATTTGTTTGATTCAGCATCCTGAAAACATGTTTCCCCGAAAATAATACATAAATTTATTATACTTTAGATGTTCTTATTTATATAAATTAAAGTAAACTATATTTTACCGTAACTTCTTCCTCCATATTGAGAATATC